ATCCAATAATTAAAAAAAATTTTTTTTGTAATTTTTGAGTGTGTACATATATGGGTATATATATACTATATATATGTACTATAAAGTCATTCTTGTCTCGATGCTAATGTCAGGCCACATCCTTACATGGAGCTCTTACAAAGAAGACAAACTCTCGATCGTGGGAGACTTGTTGATCGTCAATCAATCTTTGCAAGTATAGAGTCCTTGATCGCGTACACTGAAACCAAGTATACATATATATATATACGAAAACTATATAAAAATCATTAATCACTTTAATCACTCATTATTTTCAAAAAAAATCGCATTATTTTATTTCCAGTTTTCCTTTTTAAAATAAATAATACTTTCACCTTAAATTCCTACTTTAAGCCTAGTTTATACCTACAGAAATCCTACTTTGTACCTTCTTAAACCCTACTTTGAGCCTACTTTATACCTTCTTAAACCTTACTTTGAACCTACTTTGTACCTTTAAAAACCTAACTTTGAGCCTGCTTTGTACTTTCTTAAACCCTACTTTGAGCCTAGTTTGTACCTACTTTACCCTTACTTTGAGCCTACTTTATACCTGCACATACCTGCTTTAAGCCCACTTTGTACCTTTTTGAACCCTAGTTTGAGCCTACTTTGATGTTTCGTGAACCCTATTTTGACCCTACTTTGTACCTTCTTAAACCCTAGTTTGAGCCTAGTTTGTACCTTCTTTACCACCACTTTAAACCTAGTTTGTACCTTTCTTACACCTACTTTGAGCCTAGTTTGAACCTGCTAAATACCTATTTTGAGTCTAGTTTAAGCTTACTTTGTATTTTTTTGTACCCTAGTTTGAGCCTACATTTTACGTTCTTGAACCCTAGTTTGAGACTACTTTGTACCTTCTTAAACCCTAGTTTGTGCCTAGTTTGTAGCTTCTTTACCCCAAATTTGAGCCTAGTTTGTAACTATTTAGACAATACTTTGACCCTATTTTGAGCCTAGTTTGAACCTGATTAATCCCTATTTTGAACCTAGTTTAAGCTTACTTTGTACCTTTTTGAACCCTAGTTTGTGCCTAGTTTGTACCTTCTTTACCCCATATTTGAGCCTAGTTTGTAACTATTTAGACAATACTTTGACCCTAGTTTGACCCTAGTTTGAACCTGCTTAATCCCTATTTTGAACCTAGTTTAAGCTTACTTTGTACCTTTTTGAACCCTAGTTTGTGCCTAGTTTGTACCTTCTTTACCCCAAATTTGAGCCTAGTTTGTAACTATTTAGACAATACTTTGACCCTAGTTTGAACCTGCTTAATCCCTATTTTGAACCTAGTTTAAGCTTACTTTGTACCTTTTTGAACCCTAGTTTTTGCCTACTTTATACCTTCTTGAACCCTAGTTTCAGCCTACTTTGATGTTTCGTGAACCCTATTTTGACCCTACTTTGTACCTTCTTAAACCCTAGTTTGAGCCTAGTTTGTACCTTCTTTACCACCACTTTGAACCTAGTTTGTACCTTTCTTACCCCTACTTTGAGCCTAGTTTAAACCTGCTAAATACCTATTTTGAGTCTAGTTTAAGCTTACTTTGTATTTTTTTGTACCCTAGTTTGAGCCTACATTTTACGTTCTTGAACCCTAGTTTGAGCCTACTTTGTACCTTCTTAAACCCTAGTTTGTGACTAGTTTGTACCTTCTTTACCCCAAATTCGAGCCTAGTTTGTAACTATTTAGACAATACTTTGACCCTAGTTTGAGCCTAGTTTGAACCTGCTTAATCCCTATTTTGAACCTAGTTTAAGCTTACTTTGTACCTTTTTGAACCCTAGTTTGTGCCTAGTTTGTACCTTCTTTACCCCAAATTTGAGCCTAGTTTGTAACTATTTAGACAATACTTTGACCCTAGTCTGAGCCTAGTTTGAACCTGCTTAATCCCTATTTTGAACCTAGTTTAAGCTTACTTTGTACCTTTTTGAACCCTAGTTTTTGCCTACTTTATACCTTCTTGAACCCTAGTTTCAGCCTACTTTGATGTTTCGTGAACCCTATTTTGACCCTACTTTGTACCTTCTTAAACCCTAGTTTGAGCCTAGTTTGTACCTTCTTTACCACCACTTTGAACCTAGTTTGTACCTTTCTTACCCCTACTTTGAGCCTAGTTTGAACCTGCTAAATACCTATTTTGAGTCTAGTTTAAGCTTACTTTGTATTTTTTTGTACCCTAGTTTGAGCCTACATTTTACGTTCTTGAACCCTAGTTTGAGCCTACTTTGTACCTTCTTAAACCCTAGTTTGTGACTAGTTTGTACCTTCTTTACCCCAAATTCGAGCCTAGTTTGTAACTATTTAGACAATACTTTGACCCTAGTCTGAGCCTAGTTTGAACCTGCTTAATCCCTATTTTGAACCTAGTTTAAGCTTACTTTGTACCTTTTTGAACCCTAGTTTGTGCCTAGTTTGTACCTTCTTTACCCCATATTTGAGCCTAGTTTGTAACTATTTAGACAATACTTTGACCCTAGTTTGAACCTGCTTAATCCCTATTTTGAACCTAGTTTAAGCTTACTTTGTACCTTTTTGAACCCTAGTTTTTGCCTACTTTGTACCTTCTTGAACCCTAGTTTGAGCCTACTTTTTATATTATTAAGCCCTAGTTTGAGCCTAGTTTGTACCTTCTTGAACCCTAGTTTGAGTCTACTTTATATCTACCTATTTTGTACCTACTTTGAGCCTAGTTTGTGCATGCTTTGATCTACTTTTGGCCTGTTTTGTGCCTACTTAGTCCCAAGACTATAACAAGTACTACGAGTCTATTTTGAGCCTGGATTGAATATTAATTTGTAACTTACTTTTCACTAATTTAAATTTAGAGAGAGTACCAATTCAATCGTATATTTACACATAATTCAAAATTTTTAAATTTCTTATATTATATATAGTTTACTTTACACTTGAATTTTTCTTCTGTTTACAAGCGACTCAAAAAAAAAAAAAATTCATTCAGAATAAATTCTTAAATGAGTGTATATATATATATAATATAAGATTCTCTTTCACCTTTGGAATTTAGGAATCTAGTCTAGACACCAGGAGTCAATTTCATAGAAATGGTTCAAAAGGGCCGGGGGTATAATGAGGATGAGAAGGAAAAAAAAACAATTTTCTAGAAAAGGCCATTGATTATTATTGGACGCTAACCGTTTAAAGTAGTGTTTTAGGTCTTTAGGACACCTTTCGTCTCCTGCTGTGAGAGAGAGAGAGAGAGAGAGAGAGAATTCTACCTTTTGCGATGATATTAAGAAAATATATGTACTAAAATTCAAACACTAAACTGATTCCTCATGATCTTGTCGAGAGCTGTAGTAGTAGTAGTAGTAGTGGGAGAAGGTACTTTAAAACCGGCACTCGACGGCGCCAGCACCGCACTGTGAGAACCCACTGACTTGTGTTTTTCTTTTTTTTTTTTTTCATTTTTTTTTTTCTTCTGGGGTGAATTACATGTACCATGAAACGTTTCTGGAAAGACTTGAAACCTCTATAAACATCATGCAATTCTAGAAAATCAATGATTATTTTTTCACTGAAATTCATTTTAATTTTGATTTTAGTTTTGATTTTATATCCGCAGAGAAATGATATATTATTCTCAGAGCCTAATAAATATTTATTTGATTCAAAATAAATTTTTATTTAATTCAAAAATAAATTTTTATTTAATTCAAATAAATATCCACTTTAAACCTAGTTTGTATCTGCTTTGTCCCCATACTTTAAGCCTACTTTGTACCTGCTTAGAGCCTACCTTAAGCCTATTTTGGCGCTATATTGAACCTAGTTTGCACCTTTTTCCTATACTTTAAACCTCCTTGGTACCTTCTTGAATCCTACTTTGAGCCTAGTTTGTACCTTCTTTGACTCTATTTTCAGCCTACTTTGACCCTAGATTGAAACTAGTTTTAGCCTAGTTTGTACCTTCTCTGACTCTATATTCAGCCTTCTTTGACCCTCGATTGATACTAGTTCTAGCCTAGTTTGTAACTATTTAGTACCAACTTTGACCCTAGTTTATACCTTCTTTACCCCTACTTTGACCCTAGTTTGAACCTGCTTAATCTCTATTTTGACCCTAGTTTAAGCCTACTTTGTACCTTCTTAAACCATAGTTTGAGCCTAGTTTGTACCTTTTTAGACTCTATTTTCAGCCTACTTTGACCCTAGATTGAAACTAGCCTAGTTTGTACCTTCTTTGACTCTATTTTCAGCCTACTTTGACCCTAGATTGAAACTAGTTTGAGCCTAGTTTGTACCTTCTTTGACTCTATTTTCAGCCTACTTTGACCCTAGATTGAAACTAGTTCTAGCCTAGTTTGTAACTATTTAGTACCAACTTTGACCCTAGTTTATACCTTCTTTACCCCTACTTTGACCCTAGTTTGAACCTGCTTAATCTCTATTTTGACCCTAGTTTAAGCCTACTTTGTACCTTCTTAAACCATAGTTTGAGCCTAGTTTGTACCTACTTAGACCCTATTTTGAGCCTAGTTAGTACCTGCTTAATTCCTAGTTTGTGCCTATTTTGTACCTATACTTAGACCTACTTTGAGCCTATTTTTCACATGCAGAACCTGATTTGTAGTATCACATTCCTGCAATCTATATTATTATAACCGAAATTGAGTGCTGCAAATTTTTAGTATCATCCAAATCTGTTCAATCTTTTCCCAAAGACGATTTCAATTTAGATACACGGATTTCAATTTAGATAATTTAGAAATTAACTGTCACATCAAAACGAAATTAAAAAATAAAATATTAACTGTCACATATCGCATTTAATTTAACTATAGAGATTAAAATAAAAATACTATCAAATTTTGTCGCGCATTGAATTTAATTTATGAAATTAAAATAAAAAACCAAAATTTAATTTATGAGATTAAAATCAAAAAAAAAAATCAAACAAACAAAATTTAATTTAAGAGATAAAAATAAGAAAAAAAAAATTTAATTTTTATTCCAGATTTACCAGATAGAATATGTAATTTTAAAAGCTGCAAATTCCCCACGACCATCAGCATGGATTCTGGAGAAATCATTGGATGGAGAGAATTTTCAAACATGGCAATATTATGCACCAAGCGATGCAGAATGTTGGACGAGGTACTCGGTGGCCCCTGTCGCTGGCAAACCCACTTACACAAAGGACGACGAGGTCATCTGCACGAGCTTTTATTCAAGAAAAACACCCATGGAAAGTGGCGAGGTATTTAGAAAAATTTTCATAATTTAAAAAATTTAGACAAGAAAAAAAATTTTTTGAATTTTTTTTTTTTTACTTTTTGTATAGAATTAATATATTATAATTACTTAGAATTAGTAAATTTCGATATAATTTTTACTACTTTAAGCCTAATTTGAGCCCACTTTGAGCCTACTTTCAGCTTACTTTAAGTCTACTTTGAGCTTAGATTGTAACTAGTTTGAGCATATTTTGTAGCTTTTTACACCCTACATTGAGCCTAGTTTGTACCTGTTAAATCCCTAGTTTAAGCCTAGTTTTTACCTGCCTAGTTCCTATTTTGAGCATACTTTGACACTACCTTGTACCTTCTTAAACCATAGTTTGAGGCTAGTTTGTACAATTTTTACCCCTAAATTGAGGCTACTTCGTAACTATTTAGTCCCTACTTTGACCTAGTTTGAGCCTACTTTGTACCTTTCTAAGTCCTACTTTCAGCCAACTTTGTACCTTCCAGAAATAAAGTTTGAGCCCACTTTGTACCTTCCCGAATCCTACTTTGAGCCTAGTTTGTAACTGTTTAGTCCCTACTTTGAGCCTAGTTTGTAGCTACTTAGTTCCTACTTTGACCCTAGTTTGCACCTACTTTGTACCTTCTCAAACCCTAGTTTGAGATTACTTTGTACCTTCCTAAATCCCTAGTTTGAGCCTACTTTGTACCTTCCCGACTCCTACTTTGAGCCTAGTTTGTAACTGTGTAGTCCCTACTTTGAGCCTAGTTTGTACCTACTTAGTTCCTACTTTGACCCTAGTTTGCACCTACTTTGTACCTTCTCAAACCCTAGTTTGAAATTACTTTGTACCTTCCTAAACCTTAGTTTGAGCCTACTTTGTACCTTCCCGAATCCTACTTCGAGCCTAGTTTGTAACTGTTTAGTCCCTACTTTGACCCTAGTTTGAGCCTATTTTGTAAATACTTAAACTATACTTTGAGCCTACTTTAAACCTTTTTGAACCCTACTTTGAGCTTACTTTGTACCTTCTTAAACCCTACATTGAGCCTACTTTGTACCTTTTAAATCCCTAGTTTAAACCTAGTTTTTACCTCCCTAGTCCCTATTTTGTGCCTAGTTTGAGACTACCTCTTGTACCTTCTAAAACCTTACTTTGAACCTACTATGTACCTTCTTTTACCCCTAAATTGAGCCTAGTTTGTAAGTATCTAGTTCCTACTTTGGTCCTAGTTTGATCCTACATTGTACATTCTTAAACCCTATTTTGAACCTACTTTGTACCTTCTTAATCCCTAGTTTTAGCTTAGTTATTACCTTTTAAAACCGTACTTTGAGCCTACTTTGTACCTTCTTAAATCTTACTTTGAGCCTAGTTTGAGCCTAGTTTGTAACTTCGTAGACCCTAGTTTGAACCTAGTTTTTTCCTATGTAATCCTTACTTAAAGCCTAGTTTGTACTTACTTAGACTACTTTCAATATAGCGTCAAAGTAGGCTTAAAGTAGGCTTTAAGTAGATACAAATTAGGCTCAAAATAGTTTCCAAGACAGCTACAAAATAGGCTTAAACTAGTTTTAATCTAGTTTCAAAGTAGGCTCAAAATAGGTTCTAAGGTGATACAAACTAGGCTTAAAGTAGGATGTAAGGTATAAAATATGCTAAAACTAAAATAAGTTGAAACTAGTTTCGTTCTTGGGTCGTAGTAGGTTGTAAGTGCGTAAAAAAAGACCAAAACTAGTTTTAATATAGGTTCCAAATCGGTTCAAGTTGGCTCTAAGCAGACACAATACTAGAGTTAAAGTAAGCATAAAATAGGCTCTAAGCAAAAAAACTAGGTTCAAACTAGGATTTAAGAATTTAATATAGGCTAAAACTAATTTCAATCTAGGCTGAAAGTAGGCTAAAAATAGGCTCTAAGCAGGTACAAACTAGACTGAAAGTCGGATCTAAGGTACAAAATAGACTAAACCTAGTTTCAATCTAGGCTCAAAATAGACTAAACCTAGTTTCAATCTAGGCTCAAAATAGACTAAACCTAGTTTCAATCTGGGCTCAAAATAGACTAAACCTAGTTTCAATCTAGGCTCAAAATAGACTAAACCTAGTTTCAATCTAGGCTCAAAATAGACTAAACCTAGTTTCAATCTGGGCTCAAAATAGACTAAACCTAGTTTCAATCTAGGCTCAAAATAGACTAAACCTAGTTTCAATCTAGGCTCAAAATAGACTAAACCTAGTTTCAATCTAGGCTCAGAATAGACTTAACCTAGTTTCAATCTAGGCTCAAAATAGACTTAACCTAGTTTCAATCTAGGCTCAAAATAGACTAAACCTAGTTTCAATCTAGGCTCAAAATAGACTAAACCTAGTTTCAATCTAGGCTCAAAATAGACTTAACCTAGTTTCAATCTAGGCTCAAAATAGACTAAACCTAGTTTCAATCTAGGCTCAAAATAGACTAAACCTAGTTTCAATCTAGGCTCAAAATAGACTTAGCCTAGTTTCAATCTAGGCTCAGAATAGACTAAACCTAGTTTCAATCTAGGCACAAAATAGACTTAGCCTACTTTCAATCTAGGCTCAGAATAGACTTAACCTAGTTTCAATCTAGGCTCAAAATAGACTAAACCTAGTTTCAATCTAGGCTCAAAATAGACTTAGCCTAGTTTCAATCTAGGCTCAGAATAGACTTAACCTAGTTTCAATCTAGGCTCAAAATAGACTAAACCTAGTTTCAATCTAGGCTCAAAATAGGCTTATAGTACTTCAATATCGGCTAAAAGTATAGATGAAAATATTTTTACAATTGAGTAATTTTCTTTAAAAAAATGGATGGAAATTAAAAAAAAAAAATAATGGAAAAAAGTAGATCGAAAGAAAAATGCTATTTATATATAGATTATATGTAAAAATGTGAAAATACTTTTGTAAATGAAGTGTAAAAGGACAAACAATTTTTTTTTTTTTGCATTAACATTTAACGTAAAAGGGATTGTATTATAATACACACGCGGTACCTAATACGGAACAATCCTGCGAGTATTTTGAAATGGCGCTCCCCTAAACGCCATGCCAGCACAATCGGTATGGTTATATTACAAGCCATTTATCTTGTATATATATATACATAATACACACACACACACACACAAACACACATTCAAACTCGCTCAATTATCGTTTCGTGGTAATTAACAATCTTTAAACAAACCTAAAATGGGCGGGAGCTGTTTAATATATCATTTGTTCTTTTCTTGTCAATTTTAATTACATGTTTTCACTTTTTAGTGAATATACACAACAATTTTTTTAAATAAATTTACCAAAAAAAGAGGACGAGTATTTATTTTTTTTTTCGTTAAATCGAGGTTGAAATTAAATTTTTTTGATTGGGAAAATATTTTTTTTTTTTTCCCACGGATTTATTTACTTTTTTCCAAGTAGTAGTAGTAGTAGTAGTAGTAGTAGTAATAGTATAAACATCCCGAGGGGATGTATAGCTATATATATATATATTTTTTTTTTCATCGTCGATTCTACGAGGGACTCTCTTCTACTCCCTTTTGTGACCTTCGTTTGTCTTTTCCCTTTTGCTTAGCAATTTTTTAATTTTTTGCCCTTTTGCCAGGACGAGTACGTGAGGATTCCTTATAAGGACCATGACTCTATCCGTAAATGGTCGGAATCTCTTTCGCTCTTATTTTTTTGTCATCGGCTCCTCTCTTTTGTTCAATTGATTCTTCTTCTTTTCTTTCTTCATATATATATATATATATATTATCTATTCTCTTACGTCGTTGTCTTGTGTTGTGTCGTCTCATCTCATCTCATCTCATCTCATTCCCGTTTCTTCTTTCGCGTGAAACCGAATACAACGACCTTTAATTAAAATCACTTTTTCCCGGAAATTCATGGATCTAGTTTTATATAAGGCATACAGTTGGGTATTAAAATTTAAAAAAAAAAAAAAACTTTCTATCTTCATTTTTGTTATTTTTTTTTTTTTTTTTGTCACGTGATGTAAATAATTGATTTTGAATTATACAATATTTGTTATGAATTTTACGAATTGGAGTTAATTAAAATTGATTTTAACTATTTTGAACCTGCTTAGAGTAGACTTTGAGCCTTTTTTGACCTTAGATTGAAACAAGGTTCAGTTTATTTTTTATTTTTATCTACTTGGAGCCTATTTTGACGCTATAATACAAAAAAAATTTTTAGACTATTTTGCGCCTGATAGATCCTATTTTAAGCCTATTTTGAGCCTAGATTGAAATTAGTTTTAGCCTAGTGTGTACCTTAAACCCTACTTTGAGCCTAGTTTGTATCTGCTTAATTCCAATATTGAACCTTGTTTCTACCTACCTAAACCCTACTTTCTACCTGATTATGCCTAATTCGAACCCATTTTGTACCTGATTAAACCCTACGTTGAGCATAGTTTGCACCTACTTAGACACTTCTTTGAGCCTACCTTGAGCCTACTTTCTGCCTACTTTGTACCTACTTTATCGCTACATTAAAAAGCCTTTAAGTCTATTTTGTTATTGCTTATACCCTATTTTGAACATTCTTTTAAGCCTAAATTAAAACTAGTTTAAGCCTATTTTGTATATTAGATTCTAGTTTGAGCCTAGTTTGTACCTTCTTAGAACCTACTTTGAGCCTAGTTTGAGACTACCATGTACCTTCTTAAACCATAGTTTGAGACAAGTTTATACCTTTTTTACCCCTAAATTGAGCCTAGATTGTAACTATTTAATCCCTACTTTGAACCTAGTTTGAGCCTATTTTGTGCATACTTAAACTGTACTTTAAGCCAACTTCGAACTTACTTTGTACCTGTTTAGAATCTACTTTGACCTTAATTTATGCCTAGTCTGTACCTACTTTCAGTCTAATTTGTACTTTAAACACTACTCTGTGCCTACTTTGAGCCCTGATTGAAACTACTTTAAGCCTATTTTGTAACTTAGGCCCTTTGTTGTACCTATACTTTAATTCTAGACAAAAACTAGTTTTAGCCTATTTTAAATTTGTTTAGAGCCGACTTTCAGCCTACTTGAATTCTAGATTCAAACTAGATTGAGCTTATTTTATATCTGTTTGGAGCCAATTTTGAGCCTACTTTGTACATACTTTGATGCTGTACATTGAAACTAGTTTCAGCCTATTTCGTACCAGCTTAAAGTCTTCTTTAAGCCTAGTATGTACCAGCTTGGAGTCCATTTTGGGTTTACTTTGACGCTATACTGAAACTAGTTTTATCCTATTTTGTAAGGACTTAGAGCCTGATTTGAACCTATATTGAAACTTATTTTAGTTTATTTTCTACTTGCTTAGAGCCTATATTGACCCAAGATTGATACTAGATTAGCCTATCATTACCCTACGCCGATATTAATTTTAGTCTACTTTGAGCCGAGATTGAAACTAGTTTTAGCCTTCTTTGACCCTAGTTTGATACTAGTTTTAGCCTACTTTAATCCCAGGGTGAAACTAGTTTTAGCCATCTTTGTCCCTAGTTTTATACTAGTTTTAGCCTACTTTGAGCCCATTTTGAAACTAGTTTTAGCCTTCTTTGACCCTAGTTTGATACTAGTTTTAACGTACTTTGGCCCCAGATTGAAACTCGTTTTAGCCTTCTTTTACCCTAGTTTGATACTAGTTTTAGCCTACTTTAGCCCCAGATTGAAACTAGTTTTAGCCTTCTTTGACCCTAGCTTGATTCTAGTTTTAGCCTACTTTGGCCCTAGATTAACTAATCTTAGCCTTCTTTGACCCTAGTTTGATACTAGTTTTAGCCTACTTTGAGCCCATATTGAAACTAGTTTTAGCCTTCTTTTACCCTAGTTTGAAACTAGTTTTAGACTACTTTGAACCCATTTTGAAACTAGTTTTAGCCTTCTTTGACCCTAGTTTGATACTAGTTTTAGCCTACTTTGACCCCAGATTAAAACTAGTTTTAGCCTACTTTGTGCCCATTTTGAAACTAGTTTTAGCCTTCTTTAACCCTAGTTTGATACTAGTTTTAGCCTACTCTGGTCCCAGATTGAAATTAGTTTTAGCCTTCTTTTACCCTAGTTTGAAACTAGTTTTAGCCTACTTTGAACCCATTTTGAAACTAGTTTTAGCCTTCTTTTACCCTAGTTTAAAACTAGTTTTAGCCTAGTTTGAACCCTTTTTGAAACTAGTTTTAGCCTTCTTTGACCCTAGTTTGATACTAGTTTTAGCCTACTTTGAGCCCATTTTGAAACTAGTTTTAGCCTTCTTTGACCCTAGTTTGAAACTAGTTTTAGCCTAGTTTGAACCCTTTTTGAAACTAGTTTTAGCCTTCTTTGACCCTAGTTTGATACTAGTTTTAGCCTACTTTGAGCCCATTTTGAAACTAGTTTTAGCCTTTTTTGACCCTAGTTTGATACTAGTTTTAGCCTACTTTGACTCCAGATTGAAACTAGTTTTAGCCTATTTTGTACTTACTTAGAGCCTATTATACTGTTTCTCATACCCTCTTTCCTGTCCATTGAAAACTGTACCTAAATATTATTTTTCAATAATATTATTATTTTATTCATGATTAATATAAAACAAACCTTTTTTTCAAATCCTCTTCTGTTTTCTCATATTCTCCTGCATGTCCATAGAGTTATATCTGAAACAAAAATTAAAAAATTTTTTTTTCAGCAAAAAAAGAGAACTAAATTATTAACGTCAATTTTTAAACTAGAAAATGGGGTGTGGCAAAATTAGATAAAAAAAATCCAAAAGGATTAATTTTTCAAAGCAAATTGGAACTAATTATTTATTTTCTTTTTCATTTATAGATTCACACACATCTTGTTAATGGTCGACCCGGCGCTGTCAATCACAGTGAATTAATTCAAGAATTTACAAAAGCAAGATTTGTTCGAATACGTCTACAAAGTTTAAGGCGCAATGGTGACACAATTGCCGATAAACGACGAGCATTTTATTCAATAAAGGAAATTAATATTGGTGGACGTTGTATTTGTTCGGGACATGCTTCTCGATGTCGTTACAATGTTCATCATGGTGTGAGTATATATATATTAAAATTAAAAATAACCCAAAAAAGAAAAATTCTAATTTCGTCTTCTTAATCTCATGGAGAAATTCGCCAAACCTGGCTCTGACCTGGCTCAAACAGGGAAACCAACCAGAGTCAAACCAGGCCCTGGTCAGGTCCCGATTTTAATCGATTCTCATGTAGAAATTCACCAACCTGGCCCTGACCTGGTTGAAACAGGAAAATTGATCAGGGCCTGGTTTGGCCCTGGTCAGGCCCTTATTTTAATCGATTCTCATGTAGAAATTCACCAACCTGGCCCTGGCCTGGTTTTAATCAATTTTAATCGGGCTGAAATAGGGACCCTTCTTCTGTGGCCTCTATTCCCTGTTTCATGCAAATTTGGAGCTTCCCTGGGGCCCTGCTAGGGCCCTTTTAAAAATTTCGTCACGGGATATAATTAAATAATTATTTAAAAAAAAAAAAAAATTCCCTTTAACTGCCGATGGTAAAGATTTTGTACGTCAAATTTTTGATCGTAACAAATAAGGGGTTAAATGACAAAAATTATTTGCACGATTATTAAAATTATTTCTGAATTACTAGGAAGAGATTAGAAGAAAATTTTACTTTTTTTTGAAAACAAAAAAACATATTTGTGTGCCTAAATCCGTTAGGCGGAACATTAACTTGTCGCGGGTGTTTCAACGAAGTGTATATATCTATATATACTAAACGCGGCTACTAATGGCAAAGAGAATCCACCGCAGAACATTTAGATCAAAACGAGCAGAACTTGGCGCAAGTTCAGTATATAATATATGTATAGAAAACCTCAATTTTGTGAGGATCGTCAAAAACTTAAAACTTATCGAAAATTCATTCGATAAAAAAAATGATTCTAAAATTTTTTTTTAAACAATACTAATTATAAATAGACAAAAATCAAATCTTAATTCCTACTTTAAAGCCTAGATTGTACTTACTTATAGATTAGTTACAAATATAGCGTCAAGGTAGGCTTAATGTAGGCTTTAAGTACAAATTAGAATCAAAGTAGTTTTTGAAACTAATACAAAATAGGCTTAAACTAGTTTCAATTTAGGCTCAAAGTATAAGCTTTATTTGAACATTAGTTTAAGCTTACTTTGTATTATTTTACACCCTACTTTGAGCCTAGTTTGTAACTTTTTAACCTCTAGTTTAATCCTAGTTCGTATCTGCTTAGTCCCTACTTTAATCCTAGGTTAAGCCTAGTTTAAGTCTAGTCTGTACCTTCTTTACCCATAATTTGAGCCTAGTTTCTGCTTATTTAGACAATACTTTGACCCTAGTTTGAGCCTACTTTGTACCTTCTTAATCCCTGGTTTGAGCCTAGCTTGTACCTTCATCATCCCTAGTTTGAGCCTAGTTTGTACCTTTTTAAACCTTAGTTTGTACCCCTTTTAAACCCTACATTGAGCCTAGTTTGTACCTTCTTTACCCCAAATTTGAGCCTAGTTTGTACCTATTTAGACAATACTTTGACCCTAGTTTGAGCCTACTTTGTACCTTCTTAATCCCTGGTTTGAGCCTACTTTGTACCTTCATCATCCCTAGTTTGAGTCTAGTTTGTACCTTTTTAAACCTTAGATTGAGCTTAGTTTGTACCCCTTTTAAACCCTACAATGAGCCTAGTTTGTACCTTCTTTACCCCAAATTTAAGCCTAGTTTGTACCTATTTAGACAATACTTTGACCCTAGTTTGAGCCTACTTGGAACTTCTTCATCCATAGTTTGAGCCTAGTTTGTACCTTCTTTACCCCGAATTTGAGCCTAGTTTGTACCTTCTTAATCCCTAGTTTGAGCCTAGTTTCTACCTTTTCAAACCATAGTTTGAGCCTACTTTGTAACTCCTTAATCCCTAGTTTGAGCCTACTTGGAACTTCGTCATCCCTAGTTTGAGCCTAGTTTGTACCTTCTTAATCCCTAGTTTGCGCCTAGTTTGTACCTTCTTAATCCCTAGTTTGAGCCTAGTTTGTACCTTTTTAATCCCTAGTTTGAGCCTAATTTGTACCTTTTTAAACCCTAGTTTGAGCCTACTTTGTACCTTCTTAATCCCTAGTTTGAGCCTACTTGGAACTTCTTTATCCCTAGTTTGAGCCTAGTTTGTACCTACTTTACCCCGAATTTGAGACTAGTTTGTACCTTCTTAATCTCTAGTTTGAGCCTAGTTTCTACCTTTTCAAACCATAGTTTGAGCCTACTTTGTACCTTCTTAATACCTAGTTTGAGCCCACTTTGTACATTCTTAATCCCTAGTTTGAGCCTAGTTTGTACCTTCTTAAACCGTAGTTTGAGCCTAATTTGTACCTTTTTAAACCCTACTTTGAGCCTAGTTTGTACCTTCTTAATCCCTAGTTTAATCCTAGTTCGTATCTGCTTAGTCCCTACTTTAATCCTAGGATAAGCTTAGTTTGAGTCTAGTCTGTACCTCCTTTACCCATAATTTGAGCCTGGTTTCTGCCTATTTAGACAATACTTTGACCCTAGTTTGAGCCTACTTTGTACCTTCTTAATCCCTGGTTTGAGCCTACTTTGTACCTTCATCATCCCTAGTTTGAGTCTAGTTTGTACCTTTTTAAACCTTAGTTTGAGCTTAGTTTGTACCCCTTTTAAACCCTACAATGAGCTTAGTTTGTACCTTCTTTACCCCAAATTTAAGCCTAGTTTGTACCTATTTAGACAATACTTTGACCCTAGTTTGAGCCTACTTGGAACTTCTTCATCCCTAGTTTGAGCCTAGTTTGTACCTTCTTTACCCCGAATTTGAGCCTAGTTTGTACCTTCTTTACCCCGAATTTGAGCCTTGTTTGTACCTTCTTAATCCCTAGTTTGAGCCTAGTTTCTACCTTTTCAAACCATAGTTTGAGCCTACTTTGTAACTTCTTAATCCCTAGTTTGAGCCTACTTGGAACTTCTTCATCCCTAGTTTGAGCCTAGTTTGTACCTTCTTAATCCCTAGTTTGAGCCTAGTTTGTACCTTCTTAATCCCTAGTTTGAGCCTAGTTTGTACCTTTTTAATCCCTAATTTGTACCTTTTTAAACCCTAGTTTGAGCCTACTTTGTACCTTCTTAATTCCTAGTTTGAGCCTATTTTGTACTTATTTAGACAATACTAGTTTCAATCTAGGCAAAAAATAGGCTCAAAATAGATTCTAAACTGGTACGAACTAGGTTCAAAGTTGGATCTAAGATAAAAAATAGGTGAAAACTCGAAAAATTTCATTCTAAAAAATATGATTCTATTTTCTAAATACTAATTCTAAATAATTAAAAAGTCCCATTAAAATACGAGTTTTAAATTGAAAAATTTTGTGAAATTTTGAAGGACAAAAAAATTGAAATAAACAATTTTTCTTTTGAATCTGATCGTTACCAAGTTTATGAAAGGCAAAATAACGGCTCTACTGACTAATGGCCGAGACGAAGAATTTCGCAACGATCCGCAACGAGACATAAACTTGAGAGTATGTAGGAAACTGTCACGTTTAAATCCGAGCTGCACTTCAACTTTTAGTTTTTAATTTTTTTTTTTTTTTTTTTGTCTTTTTAAAGCCCCGCAGGGATAAGACCGCAAGACAACGCACTTGGTTTTTTGTAAGTTATAACCATATATGTTAAAATGGATGACTACAAATGTCAGAAAAAAAAGATAGCGCAGCTGTGTGTTTTCAAAGACATCACACGTGGCCCAGAGAAAGCGCAGTTTGTACAATCGCAGACAATGACGCTGATTAAATACCTTCACGTGTACATACCTTTCGCAAAAAATTTTTGGACACCCCTCTATTAATTATTTTCATTTTTTTTTTTTTTTTTTTTTTTGTTTTTAATGCCGAAAAAAATTGCCTTAAAAAAAAAATTTTGTTAATTTTTGAATTCGAACATTGAAAAAAAAAAAATTTAATTTTTAATTATCTGGAAAAATTTGCATTTTTAGAGAATTTAGAATTTTGCTACAGTAATTTAAAGAAATACATTTTTATCAACTATCCCTGTAGGAATGCAACCAGGTATACATGAAGAGAAACTCTTTTGCCTACTCTCAAGGAACTGTTTTGCGTGAAACTACAAATTATATGGTAGTAGTACCATACATATTTATAATTCACATTAACATAATCGTTGCCATAAAATATGGGGTCGTTATCTTCAATATTTTTTCATTTTTTTTTTTTTTTTTGCTTTTTTTTTTTTTTGCTAATAACAGTGCGATGACACAAATAAATAATTCCTATAAGCCTTCCGTATAAAGATATCACTTTCTTACAAAACGAAATAAATATTAAACCAAGCCGTGCGCGCATGTATTTTCAAATATGGTCATACAAAAAGTACCTAAGCAAGGTTATGAAGGTTTTTGATCGAGCATATGAAATAGATAATATCTTTCTTGCGTCATGTCAGATTTTCTCGAGATCAATGTTTATATATATATATATATATATATGAACACCAATGTTTTTCAAATTCTGCAATAACACTTAATTCTGAATTTATTTCTAAATTTCACATATTGTGATTTACTGTAAAAGATATATTGAATGGAAATTGAAGTTCAATCTAGGTTCAAAGTAGGCTCAAAATAGGATGAAATTAGTATTAATCTGGGGGCAAAGTAGGCTAAAAGGAGGCAAAACTAGTATCAATCTAGGGTCAAAGTAGGCTAAAACTAGTTTCAAACTAGGGTCAAAGTAGGCTCAAAGTGGGCTAAAATTAGTTTCAATCTAGGGGCAAAGTAGGCTGAAAGAAGGCAAAACTAGTATCAATCAAGGGTCAAAATAGGAAAAAACTATTTTCAAACTAGGGTCAAAGTAGGCTCAAAGTGGGCTAAAATTAGTATCAATCTAGGGGCAAAATTGGCACCAAGTAGGTAGAAAATATGCTTCAACTATTTTCAATCTGGGGTAAAAATAGGCTTTGAATTAGGTACAAAATAGGCTAAAACTGGTTTCAATCAAGTGTCAAAGTAGGTTCTTAGTAGGTACAAAAAGGCTAAAACTAGTTTCAATCTAGGGTTAATGTAGACTAAAACAAATTTCAATATAGGGTAAAAGTAGGCTCAAAGTAGGCTAAAATTAGTATCAATGTAGGGGCAAAGTAGGCTGAAAGAAGGCAAAACTAGTATCAATCAAGGGTAAAAGTAGGCTAAACTAGTTTCAAACTAGGGTCAAATTAGGCTCAATGTGGAATAAATAAGTATCAATCTAGGGGAAAAGTAGGCTGAAAAAAGGCAAAAATAGTATTAATCTAGGGTCAAAGTAGACTTAAACTAGTTTCAAACTAGGATCAAAGTAGGATTCAAGTAGATACTAAACACGCTTAAACTAGATTCCATCTAGTGTAAAAAAAGGCTCTGAATAGATAAAAAATAGGTTAAAACTGGTTTCAATCTAATGTCAAAGTAGGTTGTTAGTAGGTACAAAATAGGCTAAAACTAGTTTCAATCTGGGGTTAATGTAGGTTAAAACATATTCCAATATAGGGTAAAAGTAGGCTCAAAGTAGGGTAAAATTAGTATCAATCTAGGTACCGGTCAACGTAAGTTTAATATAAGCAAAACTAGTATGAATCGAGGGTCAAAGTAGGTTAAAACAAGTATCAATCTCGGGTAAAAGTAAGCTAAAACTAATTTCAATCTAGGGTCAAAGTAGGCTCTATGTAGGCTAATACTAGTATCAAGCTCTGGTCAAAGTAGGCTAAAACTAGTTACAAACTAGTCTCGAAGTAGGCTAAAATAATAGTATCAATCTAGGGTCAAAGTAGGTTAATACTAGTATCAATCTTGGGTCGAAGTAGGCTATAACTAGTATCAATCTTGGGTCAAAGTAGGCTATAACTAGTATCAATCTTGGGTCAAAGTAGGCTAAAACTAGTATCAATCTTGGGTAAAAGTAGGCTCCAAGTAGATAAAAAATAGCTTTAAAGTAGATTCAATCTGGGGTCAAAGTAGGCTCTAAGTAGGTAAAAAATAGCCTTAAACTGGATTGAATCTGGGGTCAAAGTAGGCTCTAAGTAGGTGTAAAACAGGCTAAAACTAGTTTCAATGTAGGGTCAAAGTAGGTTCAATGTAGGCTAAATCTGGTATCAATCTAGGGTTAAATTAAGCTCTAAGTAGATACAAAATAGGGTCTTAAGTACAAAATAGGCTAAAACTAGTTTCAATATAGGGTCAAAGTATGCTATAACTAGTATCAATCTTGGGTCAAATTAGGCTAAAACTAATATCAATCTGGGGTCAAAGTAGGTTCTAAGTAGGTGCAAAACATGCTAAAACTAGTTTAAATGTAGGGTCAAAATAGGCTCAATGTAGGTTAAATGTTGTATTAATCTAGGGTCAAAGTATGCTCTAAATAGATACAAAATGGGCTCAAACTAAAGGATTAATTGACCTTATCAAATTGGACATTGTTTTTCACTAATTTTATTTATATTATTCATCATTAATATAAAACAACCTTTTTCTTTTGAAACCCCCCTCATTTTTTCTTATATCTTTCGTGTCCATAACCAATTTTTTTTTTTAGATTTACTTCTTTATTTATTCATCATTAATATAAAACAACCTTTTTTTCTAAATATATCTTCTTTTTTTCTTGTACCCTCCTTAGTGTCCATATAGTGTCATCTGAAACAAAAAATTAAAAATTTTCTTTTAGCTTTTAATTTTGCAAAGCCGTTTTACTATTTCTTATCTCCTCCTTCGGGTCAATTGCAAAGTAATTTACATATTTTCCAGTAAAAAAAAAAGAAAATCGAAAAAATAAATTTGTAAAATAAAAAAATTTTTTTGTTTTCAGCATCAAGATTGTGAATGCGAACGACACACATGTGGTGAACAATGCGAAAAATGCTGTCCAATGTACAATCAAATTGCATGGAAATCAGGAACGTCTGGTAAAGGATTTCATTGTGAAAAATGTAATTGTCATGGACACGCTACGTCTTGTCGTTTTGATCCAGAAGTAGAGGAACAAAATCTTTCTCTTGATCATCGAGGAAAATACAAGGGTGGAGGTGTTTGTCTAAATTGTACAGTATGTATAATTTATGTTTATTAATATTTTATTTTTTAATTATAAATTTACTTACTATTAACTGATCAAAGTTTTTCAAGACCCTGAATCTGAAACAAAACAAAAAATTTATTGTAAAAGTTATACATTATGAATTTAATATAATTTTTTTTTTTTTTTTTTTTTTTTTTTTTTTTTTAGGAACACACAACAGGAATAAATTGCGAGAAATGTGAGAAGGGCTATTATAGACCCAGTGGAGTTTTACCAGATGCTCTTGAACCTTGTGTACCCTGCGATTGTAATACCTTTGGAGGCACTGGATATTGCATTCCTGATGATTCATTCTCTCAAATGGGAAAGGCAAGTTTTCTTCAAATATATTTACCCAAAAAAAAAAAAAAAACAGAAAAAAAGTAGGAGCACATTTCATAAAATTTATTAGTTAGAATTTTTTATTTCAAAAAATTTAAAGAATTTTTCTTATAGTCCAATTTTCATTTTCGAATTATTCGTTATTTTTTTATAATTCAATAGCAGAATTTTCTTTTTTTAATGCATTAACTGAATTTTAATGTAGCAAAGTTTTATTTGACAGAAATTTTAAATTGTCCAAACAAACATAACCTCTACAAAAAAGATTTCGAAAAAAAAAAAATTCCACACAATCAGAATTTATTAAAATATTGTGTCAAATTTTCGAAATGTTCGATCAAACATAACCTAGAAAACTGATTTTAGGCACGAATATATCAAAAATCCAAACAAACATAACCTAGAAAACCGATTTTAAGCGCGAATTTTCAAAAATTCGACCAATCAAAAATTAGCAAAATATTCTGATTCAACGGATTTTTTAAACTCGCGCCTAAAATCGGTTTTTTAGGTTATGTTTCTTTGGATTTTTGAAACTCGCGCCTAAAATCGGTTTTTTAGGTTATGTTTCTTTGGATTTTTGAAATTCGCGCCTAAAATCGGTTTTTTAGGTTATGTTTCTTTGAATTTTTGAAACTCGCGCCTAAAATTGGTTTTGTAGATTATGTTTCTTTGGAAATTGACGAATTTTTTGTTAATAATCGAAAATTCTTTCGCAGTTTTGAGAATTGAAAAAATAATTCATGACAATTTGAAAATTCAGACAAAATGAAATTTAACAAAAAAAAAAAAAAAAAAAAAAAAAAAAAAAAAATATGTGAGAATGAAAAAATTTGATATCTCTGAATGTTTCAGGTAGCAGGTACCTGCGAGTGCAAGAAAGGATTTTCCGGCTTTCGCTGTGATCAATGTGCCGAGGGTTATCGTCGTTTTCCCGATTGTTCACCATGTCCCTGCGATGAGAGAGGAAGTTTATTGACAAAAAATTGTGAAGGCGCATGTCAATGTAAAACAAATGTCAATGGTGAATTTTGCGATCGTTGTAAACCAGGATTTTTTGCTCTCAACAAGGATAACATTCAAGGATGTTCGCCTTGCTATTGTTCGGGTATCGTTGACGAATGCCATTCAGCAAAAATGACTTTTAAAACGGTAATTAGAATAAAAAAAAAAAAAACAAAAATATTTTTCAAATTAAATAATTTTTTAAGTTTTTTTTAATTTAACAAGAAATTTTTTTTAAATTTAATTTCAAATTTTAATTGAACAATTTTTTTTTTCGCCTAATTCAAATTTTACCAATTTTTGATGCAACTTTTATTAATTTTTATATGCAACTTTTATTAATTTTTATATGCAAATTTTAGTAATTTTTATTGAAAATTTTTGTTTAAAATTTAATTTAATAGAATTTTATTAGAATTTTCTATTAGAAATTTTGGGTCAAAGTAGCCTAAAATTAGGAACAATCTAGGGTAAAAGTCGGCTCAAAGTTGGCTAAAACTAGTTCAAACTAGAGTCAAAGTAGGCTAAAATTAATATCAATCTAGGGTCAAAGTAGGTAAAACTATTATCAATCTTGGTTCAAAGTTGGCTAAAACTAGTTCAAAGTAGGCTAAAACTATTTTTAATATAGGGTCACAGCAGGCACAAAGTAGGCTACAGTTAGGGTCAAAGTAGGCTCAAAGTAGGCAAAACTAGTATAAATCTAGGGACAAAGTAGGCTTAAATTAATATCAATCTAGGGGCAAAGTAGGCAGAACTAGTAACAATCTAGGATCAAATAGGCTAAAACTAGTTTCAAACTAGGGTCAAAGTAGGCTAAAATTAATATTAATCTAGGGTTAAAGTAGGCAAAACTAGTATTAATCTAGGGTCAAAGTAGGCTAAAACTAGTTTTAAAGTAGGGTCAAAGTAGGCTATAACTAGTATCTATCTTGGGTCAAAGTAGGCTAAAACTAGTATCAATCTTGGGTAAAAGTAGGCTCTAAGTAGGCACAAAAAAATGAGGTTCAATCTGGGGTCAAAGAAGGCTAAAACTAATTTCAATTTTGGGTTAAAGTAGGCTCAAAGTAGGCTAAAATTAATATCAATCTAGGGTTAAATTAGGCTCAAAGTAGGTAAAACTAGTATCAATCTTGGTTCAAAGTTGGCTAAAACTATTTTTAATGTAGGGTCACAGCGGGCACAAAGTAGGTTAAAATTAGGGTCAAAGTAGGCTCAAAGTAGGCAAAACTAGTATAAATCTAGGGACAAAGTAGGCTCAAAGTATGCTTAAATTAATATCAATCTAGGGTCAAAGTAGGCTCAAAGTATGCAGACCTAATATAAATCTAGGGTTAAAGTAGGCTAAAACTATTTTTAAACTAGGGTCTAAGTAGGCTAAAATTAATATTAATCTAGGGTCAAAGTAGGCAGAACTAGTATTAACCTGGGGTCAAAGTAGGCTAAAACTAGTTTCAGAGTAGGGTCAAAGTAGGCTAAAACTAGTTTCAAAGTAGGGTCAAAGTAGGCTATAACTAGTATCAATCTTGGGTAAAAGTAGGTTAAAACTAATATCAATCTTTGGGTAAAAGTAGGCTCTAAGTGTGCACAAAAAAGCCTTAAACTAAATTCAATCTGGGGTCAAAGTAGGCTCAAAGTAGTCAAAACTAATATCAATTTTGGGTGAAAGTTGGCTAAAACTAGTTCAATCTAGGGTCAAAGTAGGGTAAAACTAGTTTTAAACTGTGATCAAAGTAGGCTTTAATTACAATCAATCAAAGTATGCTAAAACTTATATCAATCTTGGGTCAAAGTGGGCTCTAAATAAGTACAAAATAGGTTAAAACTAAAGGATTAATCGAGCTTAATAATTTGGTTCTAATTATTATGTTTTTCATCAATTTTATTCATTATTCATCATTAATATAAAACAAACCTTTTTTTTGATATTCTCCTCACTTTTTCTGATATCCTCTTTTGTGTCCATAGCAAAGTGGACTTAATTTTTGTTTTTTGTTAATGTTATTTATTCATCATTAATATAAAACACACTTTTTTTTTAAATCCACTTCTACTTTCTTTTCTATCCTCTTTCGTGTGTCCATAGTGTCATTTGAAATAAAAATGTTGAAAAATGAAAATTAGAACACATTTAAATTTTGACAAATAAAAAGCTCAACTTACTGAAAATTCTATAAAATAAAAATTTTTTTAAAAATTAATTTCGTACCCATTATTTATACAGTCTTGTTAGTATGCGGAAAATATAAAGTCTCAATTGTATAAAATATTGAAAAAAAAATACAGAATTTTACATAAACGAGTTATGATATCATCATCTTGTTGCCCCTGGAGCAATAAACTGGCGTATGATGTTGATATCTATCTATATTTATCAGATTCTGTTTAATATATCCAAGAGAGAGAGAGAGAGAGAGAGAGAGAGAGAGAGAGAGAGAGAGAGAGAGAGAGAGAGAGAGAGACACTGTGATTATGCTGTCGAGTGACAATATTTTTTTTTTAACAGTCTCGTTACGATATTTATAAATGAATAAGAGGAGTCGATGAACACATCGTAAATAGAGAAATGAAAAAAAGAACTTGAAAACAAATTGCTCGACTTTTAAATATTGTTTAACATGTAAATTAATTTTTAAATGACACTCTTTTTTTTCTCGTCGCCCATTTACATATATTTAATAAATATTCAATTATTATTATTATTATTATTATTATTATTATTATTATTAAATATTCAATTCAATATTCATTAAATTAAAATAAATTTTAAATTGAAAATATAAGATAAAATTATTAATATTTTTTAATTTCTTTTTGTAATTTATTTTTTAATTTAATTAATTTTGCACAAAATAAAATTTTCTTCAACAAAAAAATATTAAAATTAATTTTTTTAATTTAATAATGAAAAGGTCTTTTATGGTAAATGTGGAAATTAAATTTTTTTTTTTGTTGTGAATTTTTTTAATTTTTACAGGTGTCAATAATGAATGATTGGCAAGTAAGCGATATTAATGGTTCAAGAATTGTGAGTCCAACATTGGATACAGATCGTGGTTGGTTAACTATAGCGGCATTTGAAGTTGATTATGAAAGTCCATTTTGGCTTGCGCCCAAATTTTACACCGGAAATCGTTTGTCCTCCTACGGGAGTAATTTCACATTTTCTGTCACTTGGGTTGTCATGCGTGGAGACACAAGTGGTGTACCAACAATTCAACCGAATCTTTTACTTATCGTAAGTATAAACGTAAAAAAAAAGAGTTCATCACTTTTAAATTTTATTTTTAACATTTTTTTATCAAAAAAAAAAAAATAAAATTATTTTAATATAATAAATAAATAATAATATATAATACATATAAATAATAATAATAACAATTATTATTATCACACTAATTTAAAAGTATCAAGTTGATTCAAATTTTTATGTGAATTTGGTATTTTTAGTATCAATTGGGTACTTTTAAATTAGTGTGATTATTATTCTTATTATTATTATTATTATTTTTTATTTTTATTATAAAAATAATACTATTATATAATATTTATTATTGTTATAATAAAAAAAATTATAATAATTATTTTTATTATTATAGAAATAAATTTTGAAAAATAATAATTTTATTTATTCAAATAGGGAAGAAATAAAATGCGAATTGCTTATGGAGAGGAAAGATATATTAATCAGGATGCTGTAATAACGGTGCCATTATTAGAACAAGGATGGCATCATGTTCCTGCTTCAATACAAGATTTAGATACAAGATCATGGACAATGGATTATAAAGGAAGAGCTGTGACGAAAAATGAAATGTTAAGCATTTTGGCTGATGTCAAATATATTTTAGTCAGAGCTCAATATCATTCTGAGCAAATTGAAGGAAGGTGAGAGAGATTTTTTTCTTTTAAAAATATAATTTTACCAAAAATTAATTATTAATAATTACATTATAATTAAAAAAAAAAGTTAATAATTATTATTGATTAACTGAAAATTTTTCAATTATAAATTTTAATTTTCTTAATAATTATATTATAAAATTTATTAAAGAAATTAATAGCACAAAAAAAAAGTTGAGAAAAAATTTAATAAATAACTTTTAATTTTATTTACATGAAAAGAAAATAAATATCAAAAATTATATAACATGACTTTTGGATAAAAAAAAATAAATAAAAATTTTTAAAATTAAATTAAAAATAATGTTTTGAAATAGAATAATTTAAATTAATTAATTATAAATAAATTAATAATAATAATTAAATAATTATATTCTGTTTTGTGTCCATAGTTATTGTTTTTTTTTTGGTAATGTTATTTATTCATCATTAATATAAAACAAACCTTTTTCTTCTACCCTCTTTGGTGTCCATAGTGTCATCTGAAACAAAAATTAAAATTTTTCTATTAGTATATTCATTAAACATTTTTTTCTTCTAAAAACCGTTTTACTTTTTCTTATACACTTTTTGATGTCTATAGAGTAAATTTGATATTTATTTTCATGTTTCTTTGTAAATAAATAATTTAAATTATTAAATTAATTAATTCTAAATAAATTAATAATTAAATAATTCAAATTTGTTAAATTAAGTAATTATAAAAAAAATTAATAATAATTAAATAATTTTAATTTTTAAATTTAATTAATTATAGAAAAAAAATTTTAATAATAATAATAATAATTAATTGTGTTTTATAAAAATTAATAAATATTTAATGCAATTTTTAGTATAGTATCAGCTGAATTGCCAATTGGTGAAATAACAAAAAATTTCGATGAAAAAGAAAGTCTTGTGGAAGTTTGTAAATGTCCTAAAGGATATACAGGATTATCGTGCGAGAAATGCGAATGGGGTTATGTTAAAGCTGATGGCAATGATTCAAATGAAGGAAATCGACACGAATGCATAAAATGTGATTGCAATGGACATTCCTCTTCTTGTGATGTTTTAGTCAGCGAATGTCATGTAAGTTTTTTCTTCTATATATCATCATTATTATTATTATTATTATTATTATTATTATTATTATTATTATTATTATTATTATTATTATTAGTATTATTATTATTATTTTTATGAAATATTTCTTTTCCTAAATTTAGATAAAAATATTTTTTTCTTTTTCTAAATTTAGATATTTTTTTCTATTTTAAAAAATAATTTACCTTCTGCTTTGCTGAATATATATTTTATGGTTATGTTGTCCAATTGAAAAAAAAAATTTTTCACTGAAAAAATCAAATAGCTAAAATTGTAGTTTAAAGCCATAATTAATTCTTAAACTTTCTACGTGAGATAAAAGAGGACAAAAGTATATCTCTATCCTTTTTTATCTCATGTATATCACATTTATGAAATTATTGTGCTTAGACCTTTAGTTTATTAATTTTTTTTTTAAATACTCTTAAAACTTAGAAATAATTCCGCTAGATGGCGCCACTTGTTCTACACACATGTAAAATTGTATTTTTCCTTCAGGTGTTGAACAAAACATAATATTCTAATTTTTTCTCTCTATATAAGTTTTTTTTTTAAATAAAGAAAAAAGTAACTAAAAAAAATTAAATTCTATAAATACTGTAAATTTCGGTTTGATGACATTTGGAAAATTCGTGACACTTTTAGAATAATTTTATTAATTTATTGCATATAGTGTAATTAATAGCAAAAAAAAGTTGAGAAAAAATTAAATAAATAACTTTTAATTTTATTTACATGAAAAGAAAATAAATATCAAAAATTAATTAACATGACTTTTGGATAAAAAAAATAAAAATTTTAAAAATTAAATTAAAAATAATTTTTTGAAATTGAATAATTTAAATTAATTAATTATAAATAAATTAATAATAATTAAATAATTATATTCTCTTTCGTGTCCATAGCAAAGTGGACTTAATTATTGTTTTTTTTTTTGGTAATGTTATTTATTCATCATTAATATAAAACAAACCTTTTTCTTCTACCCTCTTTGGTGTCCATATAGAGTCATCTGAAACAAAAATTAAAATTTTTCTATTAGTATATATTCATTAAACATTTGGAAAATTCGTGACACTTTTAGAATAATTTTATTAATTTATGGCATATAGTGTAACCAGCCACGAACTAATAAAATTATTATAGAAGTGTCACGACTTTTAAAAAAAAAACCGTTATACCGGAAGTAGAGGTTGGTTTCCATTGTCCCCACTCGCCATTTGTCATAATTGTCGTTAACTACCGCACCCTGTTCTAGTGTAAATTTAGTAACCTTATAGTAACTTTTACTTTTAACAAAATAAAGTCACTAAATTTTCTTCTAGAGCAGGGTGCGGTAGTTGACAACAATTATAACAAATGGCAAGTGGAGATTTTGGCTAGTGAGGACTAGAAAAACCAACCGACAGTATTTAAAAAAAAAAATGTTTTTGAAATAATAATAAAGTTGTATAAAATTTTGTAATTTTTTGAAACTTCTTTTATTATTTAGAAATGTGAACACAATACAATTGGTCCAAGATGTGATCGATGTGCAATAGGTTACTATGGTGATGCCGCAAAAGGAACACCTGAGGATTGTAAAAAATGTGCATGTCCACTTTCAATTGCATCGAATAATTTTAGTCCCAATTGTCAACTCGAAGATCCTGGCAATATTTTTAGTGGTTATGTTTGTACACAATGTCCAGTTGGTTATACAGGTGATCATTGTGAAAGGTAATGAAAATAATTTTACATTTTTTTTTTTATATTTATTGTTTAATTAATGTTGGCAACTTTTTTTTTCACATAACCTCAAAATAGTTTTGTTGTATATAAATAAAAATTTTCATTATTATTTCAATTATTTTAATGAGAGAAAAAAAATTCTAAATCATTTTTCCACAATTAATATTATTTAATTTTTCACAGTTGCGATGTGGGATATTTTGGAAATCCTTTAATTCCCGGTGGAAATTGTAAACAATGTCCCTGCGGTGGTGGATCATGCGATCAGGAAACAGGACGTTGTCTGGAGTGTTTAGGCAATACCATTGGTTGGAGTTGTGAAAAATGTAAACCAGCCCACTATGGTGAACCATTGGAGCGAAATTGTATGCGTATGTATAATTTATTTTTCTATTATATAAAATAGTAATTTTCTAGTTTATTTTTTCCCCTATTATTGTGTTATTTATAATTTTTTTTTTTTTTTTAAATTTATATTTGTTTTTTAATTTATTTTTTATAATTTGTTACAGAGAAATTCAAGGTTAGAATATATAAAATATAGAAAACTATATTTATATATAGAATAGATCAAACCTTTTTATTATTAAACATAAACAATGAAAGAAATGAATATAAAAGTGAATATAATCTGATATAAAAAAAGGATTTTTTAACTGAAGACCAAATCGTAATTGCATGGTAGTTATAAGGGTTATTAGGAAATGTTCAAAAAATACGTAACGCTTTTTTTTGGGAAATTTCAAACTCCTTCACCTCCCCCTCTATCTAATGCACAGTTACATATATTAGCGCCATTTTTTTTGGCTACCGTAACAAAAAGCTTGAAACCCCCCCCCCCTTTGACCCCTGGAAGCGTTACGTATTTTATGAACAGCCCCTATTATAATATATAAGGGGTCATTCAAGTATTACGTAAGCATCTAAGGGGAGGGGAGGGGTTCCTCAGTTGCTTACGCACCATACAAAATTTTTATTTTTTCCATTACAATTTACTTATTTTGGGGAGGGTGGGGGGGTCCAAAAACCTTGAAAATATGCTTACGTAATACTTGAATGGCCCCTAATATAATAAAATAGTAGTTAGAAATTTCCCTACCAGGGCCCTGGTAGAGAATGAAACGCCACATCTGATTAGGTTCAAATCAGGGCGGCCAGAAAATGTGGATTTCCTAATTAGGAACACAGTAGGCGTGGCGTTTCATTCCCTAATATGGCAGCCAGTTCCGGTACAAACTAGGCTCTAAGTAGATACAAAATAGGCGAAAAATAGTTTCTATTAAGGGTCAAAGTAGGCTAAAACTAGTATCAATCTAGGATCAAAGTAGGCATAAACTTGGCTTAAAACAAGTAGAAAATAAGCTGAATCTAGATTCCATCTAGGGACAAAGTTGGCTCTAAGTTTAAAATAGGCTAAAACTAGTTTCAATATAGTATCAAAGTAGGCTTAAAATAGGCTCTAAGCAGGTACAAACTAGGCTCTAAGTAGATACAAAGTAGGCGAAAAATAGTTTCAATTAAGGGTCAAAGTAGGCTAAAACTAATATCAATCTAGGCTCAAAGTAGGCATAAAGTTGGCTTTAAACAAGTAGAAAATAAGGTGAATCTAGTTTCAATCTAGGGTCAAAGTCGGCACTAAGGAGGTTCAAAATAGGCTATAAGTAGTTTCAATATAGCGTCAAAGTAGGCTTAATATAGGCTCCAAGCAGGTACAAACTAGGTTAAAAGTAGAATTTCAAGCTCCAAATAGGCTCAAAGTAGAATTAAATCAGGTACAAAATAAGACTCAAATTAGGGTGTAAGAAGGTACAAATTAGGCTCAAAATAGGGTGTAGGTATAGGTAGAAACTAGGCTCAAAGTAAGGACAAAGCAGATACAAACTAGGCTTAACGTAGGGTCTAAGTAGGCTCAAAATAGGATCTAGGTAGGTAGAAACTAGGCTCAAAGTAAGGACAAAGCAGATACAAACTAGGCTTAACGTAGGGTCTAAGTAGGTTTAAAATAGGCTAAAACTAGTTTTAATCTAGGGTAATACTTGAATGGCTCCTATTATAATAAAATAGTAGTTAGAAATTTCCCTACCAGGGCCGTGGTAGGGAATGAAACGCCACATCTGATTAGGCTCAAATCAGGGCGGCCAGAAAATGTGGATTTCCTAATTAGGGCCACATTAGGCGCGGCGTTTCATTCTCTAATAGGGCAGCCAGTTCCGGTCCCGATCTAGTCCTTGGCGAAATTTTCACACAAGAATAATTATATTTATAAAAATTTCTATTTAATTTCTATTTGTCTAGAAATTATATAATTGTTTAGAATTTATAGTTGATAACATTTTCTAATTTTAATCTGTTAATATTTTTTTAATTATTTATTATTTATATTTTCAATTTTAAAGAATTAAATTAAGGTTCACAATAAAAAAAAAAAAAAAAAAGAAAGATTTTTCTTTGAATTAATTTTTTTTTCTTCACCAGCCTGTAAATGCGACCCTGTTGGCAGTAGTTCCGATGTTTGTGATATAAAAACGGGCCAATGCTCCTGTAAATCTTTATTCGATGGACGCGATTGTTCATCTTGTATCGAGGGATATGGAAATATCACTGCAGGTTGCATTGAATGTGACTGTGATTTTGGCTCTATCGATGGACGTTGTGATCCAATAACAGGCGAATGTAATTGTAAAACAGGCGTCTCTGGAATTCGTTGCAGTCAATGTGAAATCGATCATTATGGATTATCGGAAATGGGCTGCACAAGTGAGTAGAAAATATTTTTTTAAAAAAAAATTTATACAATTAAAAATTTATCTTTTCCTATAAAATCACAAATTTTTTACAAAAAAAACAAAATAAATTATTTTCTTATAATTACAATTTCACATAAGAAATTTAAAAATTTATAATTGGATAACAAAAAAAAATTATTAATAATGATTAATTTCGAGAGAGAGAGAGATATTTTTTTCCTTAACTCTTCGATAAAAGCGCAGAAAGTTGAGAATTTTTCACATATTCAATGCGGGGCAGAGATTGTGAAATAAAAAGAGAGGCGGTATCGTTTGCCAACAAAAAGGCTTCTTCGTACCTTTGAAGTATATATATATATATATATACAAGTGCTTATCACTTGGATCGTCGCTTATCAAAATGGGAATCGAGTTTGAAATCGACATGCTCTGTGTTTGTGTATCTGTGTTTTTCTCAGAATTGGAAACTTGCCTTTTGCAAGAGACATCTCCAACTAACGAGTCGCTTTTATACCTTTATACCCGCGCTCTTTCTGTAAATCCGTACTCTATTTCAATTTTCTAAAATAAATATACACAGAAAATTAAGAGGCATTAAAATCACCTGCAACCCTTAGTATTTATTATTATTATTATTATAACGCTTATTATTGGATTATTTAATCCATTTTGTTATTAAAATAAGCAAAATTAGATTAAAATAATAAATGTTGCAACTTATTTTAATACCTTATAATTTTCTGTGATATTTATCAAAAAATATTAGATAACAAATTGTTTCCTGCAATTAGAAACAATATCAATATACAATTATCCTACAATAAAATAATTCAATTAAATTATTATTAAGTACAAAATAGTCTGAAAGAAGACTCTAACCAGGTACAAACTAGGCTCAAAATAGGGTCTAAGTTGGTAAAAAATAGGCTAAAAGTATGCTCTAAATAGGTACAAAATAGGCTTAAAGTAGGATAAAAACTACAAAATAGGCTAAAACTAGTTTCAATATAGTATCAAAGTAGGCTTAAAATAGACTCTAAGCAGGTACAAACTAGGCTCTAAGTAGATAGAAAAAAGGCTAAAAATAGTTTCAATCAAGGGTCAAAGTAGGCTAAAGCTATTATTAATCTAGGCTCAAAGTAGGCTCTAAGCAGGTAGAAAATAAACTGAATCTAGTTTTAACCTAGGGTTAAAGTCGGCTCTAATCAAGTTCAAAATAGGCTTAAACTAGTTTCAATATAGTAACAAAGTAGGCTTAAAACATGCTCTAAGCAGGTAGAAACTAGGCTCAAAGTAGGCTCCAAATAGGTACAAAAAATGTTAAAACTATTTTCAATCTAGGTTCAAAGTAGGCATAAAGTTGGCTGTAAGGAAATATAAACTAGGCTTAAAGTAGAATATAAGGTACAAAATAGGCTTAAAGTAAGATGTAAGTAGGTATAAAATAGTGTGAAAGAAGACTCTAACTAGGTACAAACTAGGCTCAAAATAGGGTCTAAGTTGGTAAAAAATAGGCTGAAAGTATGCTCTAAATAGGTACAAAATAGGCTTAAAGTAGGATCTAAACTACAGAATAGGCTAAAACTAGTTTCAATGTAGAGTCAAAGTAGGCATAAAGTTGGCTCAAAGGAAGTAAAAAATTGGCTTAAAGTAGAGTGTAAGGTATAAAATAGGCTAAAACTAGTTTCAACATAGGCTCAAAGTAGGCTCTAAGCAGTTAGAAAAAAAACTGAATCTAGTTTCAATCTAGGGTCAAAGTAGGCTCTAAGTAGGCTAAATCTAATATCAATCTAGGGTCAAAGTAGGTTCTAAGTAGGTTAAAAGTAGTTTTAATCTAACGTCAAAGAAGGCTCTAAGTAGGTTAAAAAAAGGCTAAAAATAGTTTCAATCAAGGGTCAAAGTAGGCTAAAGCTATTATTAATCTAGGCTCAAAGTAGGCTCTAAGCAAGTTCAAAATAGGCTTAAACTAGTTTCAATATAGTAACAAAGTAGGCTTAAAACATGCTCTAAGCAGGTAGAAACTAGCCTCACAGTAGGCTCCAAATAGGTACAAAAAATGTTAAAACTATTTTCAATCTAGGTTCAAAGTAGGCATAAAGTTGGCTCTAAGGAAGTACAAACTAGGCTTAAAGTAGAGTATAAGGTACAAAATAGTCTAAAACTAGTTTCAATCTAGGGTCAAAGTAGGCTCTAAGTAAGCTAAAACTAGTTTCTATCTTGGTTTAAAGTAGGCTCTAAGTAGGTTAAAAGTAGTTTTAATCTAGCGTCAAAGAAGGCTCTAAGTAGGTTAAAAAAAAGGTTAAAAATAGTTTTAATCAAGGGTCAAAGTAGGCTGAAACTAGTATCAATCTATGCTCAAAGTAAGCTCTTAGCAGGTAAAAAAAAACTGAATCTAGTTTTAACCTAGGGTCAAAGTCGGCTCTAAGCAAGTTCAAAATAGGCTTAAACTAGTTTCAATATAGTAACAAAGTAGGCTTAAAACATGCTCTAAGCAGGTAGAAACTAGCCTTAAAGTAGGCTCGAAATAGGTACAAAAAATGTTAAAACTATTTTCAATCTAGGTTCAAAGTAGGCATAAAGTTGGCTCTAAGGAAGTACAAACTAGGCTTAAAGTAGAATATAAGGTATAAAATAGGCTTAAAGTAAGATGTAAGTAGGTATAAAATAGTGTGAAAGAAGACTCTAACTAGGTACAAACTAGGCTTAAAGTTCGTTCTAAGTAGGTACAAAATAGTCTCAAAGTAGGCTCTAAGTAGGTAAAAAAATAGGCTTAAAGTAGGATCTAAACTACAAAATAGGCTAAAACTATTTTCAATGTAGAGTCAAAGTAGGCATAAAGTAGGCTCGAAGGAAGTACAGACTAGGCTTAAAGTAGAGTATAAGGTACAAAATAGTCTAAAACTAGTTTCAATCTAGGGTCAAAGTAGGCTCTAAGTAAGCTAAAACTAGTTTCTATCTTGGGTCAAAGTAGGCTCTAAGTAGGTTAAAAGTAGTTTCAATCTAGCGTCGAAATAGGCTCTAAGTAGGTACAAAATAGGCTAAAAATAGTTTCAATCAAGGGTCAAAGTAGGCTGAAACTAGTATCAATCTATGCTCAAAGTAAGCTCTAAGCAGGTAAAAAAACTGAATCTAGTTCTAACCTAGGGTCAAAGTCGGCTCTAAGCAAGTTCAAAATAGGCTAAAACTAGTTTCTATAAAGTATCAAAGTAGGCTTAAAATAGGTTCTAAACAGGTACAAACTGTGGCTTAGAGTACGATCTAAAGTATAAAATAGGCTAAAACTAGTTTCAATCTAGGCTCAAAATAGGCTCTAAGCAGGTAGAAAACTTTGATAAAAGTAGAATTATACTATATGTAGTAGAAGAAGTATCGCAATTTCAATAATTCCTATATATATATATATATATATATATATATATAGCCAATAATTTCTATTGAATAAAATAAATAAGAAAAAAAATTTGATTCTTATTTATGAGAAATCGTGCAGTTTATAGAAGTCAATATGGAGAATCGTGCTGAATTTTTCGCGTGAGACGGTAGGCACTGTATTTAATGTCCCTTATAACTCATTTTCTCTAGGGATGCTGCTGCTGTAACACTAGGTCTAAGGCCAAGGTCTTACTAGCGAATATCTTATCGATTCTATATAGCGATGCTAAATGCAGATAAATCTCCTCCTTATATTCCATATAGCAAGGATTATGATAACCATCCATATTATCATTTTTTTTTTTCCTCTCTCTACAAAATCCCAAAATAGCTCTTATTCTTCATCATCAACAATTTTAGCAATAATAATAATATTAATAATAATAATAATATTAATAATAATAATAATAATAATAATAATAATAATAATAATAATAATAATAATAATAATAATAATAATAATAATAATAATAATAATAATAATTTAATAAATTGTTATATCATTTTTGTACCTTAAAAAAATATTTGGTAATTAAAACCTCTTCGTTTTTTTTTTTTTTTTTAAAAAGAATATAATTTGTTTCAAAAAAAAAAAAAAAAAAAAATCTGTTGTAAAAATAATTAAATAAATATCTTGTATATCTTACAATTTTGTAAGACGATGATTCTTATCAGTATGACATTTAAATTTATTTCTAGTACGGAAATGTGTGTGTACTCGTTGGCAATTAGTTAGCAAGGGATTAAAACTCCATTAGCGTGTTATCTTTGGCTAGAATCACTTGATTCACCACCCGCGATCGTTTAAACGAAAGATGTGTGTTGTCCCTCTTGTTACATATATATATATATATATATATATATATATATATATATATAGAAAGGGGAAAAAAAAGAATCGGGACTCGCGACAGTCAAACGATTTGCATAATACAAAATCAACAAACTCACCGCATTTCAAGGAGTTTATCGACCTCCTTCCTCTCTTTTCACGGGGACAAATTCAATATTGAATTTATTTCTTTCTTTTTTTTTCCCTCCAAAGTGTATATAGTAATATATAGTAAACTTTATTGGTAGACAATCTTTATCTTTTTGTGTTAAATTTCGAATTTATATCGTTGATGATAGGCTCATATATATATATATATATATATATATATATATATATATATATGAAATTAGTCTTTTTTAGCGGATTTTGAATTCATTTTCGGTGGAGATGTATGTAAGTAGAAAATTTTTAATGTCATTTTTGGTTTTTCGAAATTTTTACTAATCTAGAAATGATTTTTTATTTCAGCATTTATTTAGAAAAGTATTTTTTTAACACGAAAGAGGATATAAAAACAAGTAAAGTGGTTTGTTTTTTTTTTAAAAAAAAAAGGTTGTTTAATATTAATGATGAATAAAAAATAATAACCAAAAACAATAATTACGTTCATTTTGCTATGGACACAAAAGAGGATATAAGAAAAAGTGAAGTAGGTTTTAAGTTGGTAGACAATAGGCTAAAACTAGTTTCAATATAGGCTCAAAGTAGGCTCTAAGAAGGTAGAAAATAAGTTGAATCTAGAT